ATACCAATCAGGGCCTCGATTATATTTGGCGATGTCTCGGTGAAAAATTCCAGCTCCTTGTAGTGCAGCGCTTTCGCGTACGCATGGAACCTCATGGCGTACTCCCCGAGAGTACGATGTTCTATAGGGAGCGGCTTCTCCTCGTGTTCCATGAACTCTGCGAGACTGAGCAACCTGTGAATCAATTCGGATGGCGCAGTAGGAGAGATGATCGCAGCTTCAATGGAGCGGACAAGTCCTTCCTAAGAGAAGCGTTGAATTTAGGAACATAGTTGGACCACCAGTGCACCTACTTGATATTGATCGTATAGCTCAGTCCAGCAAGAGATGAAGGCGGCATTGAAAAGGTCCTTCGCAAGTGGTGGATGGAATTCGACCAAGCTCATGCAGGCTCTGAGAGCATGGGAGGGCGACTCTTTCATGGATTCCACAGAGAGGCGGTGCATCCACTCTGTCCAATCCTCTCGCGTAGAAACAGAGGACACGTCCCAGGCTTGCTTTAAATGCTGTTGATTGACAGTTAACTTGGCTGGCTCGGCGGGTGCCGAGATCTCAGCAACTCTCGAGTTCTCCAATAATTCGTGGATGCCAGACTCTTGAGGCAAGCGTTCACCATTCAAGAGCTTGGTAATGAGATTTTCATACCGCGGGTGGTGGATGCGGTTACGGAGCAAGCACTACGAGTATTTCAGGATTCGCTGAAACTAGAGTCGTTGAAGAAATATACCTTGTTGATCATGGGAACGAAGATAGCAAAATCCGAGCCAAGCTGGACAAGGATGGCAGACAATGTGTCCATTACTGCCATCCGAAGCTCGTTATTCTGACCATCAAGAACTCGAACAAGGGGATGTACGATCCGAGAAGCATGATCCGAGAAGTTGACACGTTGGGAAAGATGAGCCACTGTCTGAATAGCACGTTTGCGGAGAATGGTTGTCGCATCTAGCCTCTCCGCAGCTTTGACGATAATCGGAATGATAAGATGCAAATATTCCTCGATGTTGGCACCGAAAGTGAGAAACGAATCGAATATTTTGATATGTGTGGACATTCTCTTCTCTGTGAGTTCGCCTTCAAAAACTTTGAGGAGCAGAGGTAAAATGGTTGGCAGGAAAGGTCTAAATTCGGCATCCAACGTTCTACCCAGTGCTTCGACGAGGGACACTATAGGAAGTTGGAGGGAAGTATTCTCCCAAAGTTCGGTCACAAGGCTGAATATCTCGGGCGTATAATTTCGGACGTGTTGTTTGATGATTCCAACCAAGATTGCGAGTTGCTGCAGGTGGAATTCCTGCAGCCGAGCGGTGGATGTACGCGCAACAGCGGCAAATGCTGGGATAATCTAACAGAGATGTCAACCAGAGATTGTATTGCTTGTTCAGGGATGATTACCTGTGGTAAGAAAGTGACACATTTCAAGCCCTGGGTCTTGAAAATATTCATGATAGCTTCGATGACGGTATGATGATGGTTGCTCATAGACTGATCCCTTAAGACAGCCAAGAGTGCTGTAATAACTACGGTCTGGTAATAGTCGTCGGAACCTGTCAAGGAGCCGGTGGTCGTGATGGCAGCTGCATTGACAGCTGGGAGCGTCCCTTCGACGGCTCCATCTTCATCTGGCTTTGTCTAGCACCAGATTTTAAGGCCGGACATCGATGTACAGTAGTGCGACCTACCTTGCGTCTGTATGGGTCGAGTGCACCAAGAATTCCCAAGACCTTGACGATCTCCCTGACGACGTCACGGCGAGACGAACCGGACTCTGTCCTCAAAATTCTTCCGAGGATGGGGAGAAGCTGAGGGTAGTCAATCAAGGGAAAGATGACGTAACCTGTGCTCGAACAGAGCTGTCCCAAGGTGCGCAAGGCGGCATCTCTCTTGACATGTGCTGGGTCTTGTAGTCTGGAAATGATGACTTGCATTAGCTCGGGGATGTGAGGAGCGACGTCCTCGCCTCCCACAGCGGCAAGTTCGCCGAGACACATCAAGACGTTGGCGGCGACGGCTGCGTTGCTATCGTTAGCCTTGGGGATGAGCACGCGAAGAATGGGGAGGGCATATGGCTTGATGAGTCTCTGGGTCGCGCTGACGAGCAGGGTGAGAAGGCGGGTGCAGTCCTCGCGGTTGCGTCTATGGAGGGGTGAGCTGTGGGAAGTTGGAAGGACGAGATACGCACGTGACGGTGGAATACTCCAACTCTGTGAGGAGCTGTATGAGAGCCTTGCGGAGGGATGGCATGACGTATGCGGGGTTGTGCTTCGCGAGACGGCCGATCAAGCTGACGGCGGTGACGCGGTTGTCAAAGACCTCGTCATTGAGGGATATAAAAATGGAGCGGACATTCTCGGCCTGTGCGAGGTGTTTGTCGAAGCGTTCGTGCAGCGACGAGAGCACAGTCTGACGGATGGTCGGGTCTGGAATATATAAAAATGAAGTTGGCAACAAGCACGAGTCAAAGAGATGGTGTGCTTACCCGGATCCGCAATGCCGACAGTGAGCAATTTATCGAGTACGTCGCTGATGATTTCGATCGCGTGACTGCTTGCCTGGTAGCAGATCGGATCTCGCACAAACAACTTGCAGCATGTCAGTGCGCCCGCCCGTCGCACGTCTGCATTGTCGTCCTCGAGGTACGGTAGCGCCGCGCTTCGCACAAACTCGTTCAACACGTGTCCTACGCGGCACTCAGAAAATAACTTCAAGCACTGCGTTCACTACTCTTACCAGTGAAGTCAAACGAACCGAGCGTAGAGAGCGCAAGCGTGATCAGCTCGGGATTCTTTCCCGCCTTCGTAGCAGACATGTCACGCGGATAAGCAGCAACATCGCCTCGCACCAGCGATGGCGGCGCGCCGATCACCTTGTACGGCTGTCCGATCAGAATCATCGAAAGTAGGTCCAGCAATCGATCTTGGATCGTTTTCAGTAGCGGTGGAATATTCCTGGCAATGGCTACCAGAGCTTGTCGCAATGGCTCGCTCAGCCCACACGCAAAGAACAGGTCTAGCTGATCATGCAGCAGCTTCGTCAGGTTCGGTCCAACAGCCGACGCCAGCATCCCAACACATTGGAAAATGGGCTCTTCTGATGGTGCATTCTTCTTCCTACTAGGCATGAGGAGCAATAACGCAATCAACGCGGTACACGCACCCTCTTTGTTGCAATCCAAGTTTGATATGGGCCATGATGGAGTCGAGGAAAGACTTCATTTCACTTCCTACCGCAGTCGCAGTATGCCCGATGGCAATAAAGGCTGTCATCTAGTGAGTAAACCTGACACAGTGGTTATGCAAGGACGGCGCACCAAAAGACCGTTCGTTGGGTTTCTCGAGCTGTGTGAGGAGATGACTCATTGACTTGTGCAGGTAATGCTCAGAAAAAGACTGGGTGTCGTATGCTGCAAGAGTTGGTATGAGTGTGATAACCATTTTTCGCACTAGACTGTCCCTGTGCGACTTGAAACGGAGAATCTGCTCCGCTGTGTCTAGGAATGACTCCCGCATAAACTACAGGCCAATGGTCACACGTCTGCCCTCTATGAAAAGCGACGCTGTCATCACTCACCGAGTCCCCGTGAAGCAACAATTCGCGATACATGAGCAGTGATCCGTGAATCACTTCCGGCTGTGCCATCTTCAGCCCAAGCTGAGCATCCTGAAGAATCTTCATAAGGTATGCCGTCCGCGTCTGCCGCTCCCTACTTGTCACAATTTCGAGACATGCCGCCAAGAGCTCTGCGGCGCCTTCTCGAACCATGACACGGGAGTCACGCAGTGGAATAAGAATCTTGTCGAAAACAAGGCTGATGTGGGAATGGAAGTAGTTCGCGCTATTACGAGCCAATTCCTTCAAGATGAGGACGCCGGCATAACGTGGTGATTCATGGCCCTGCAGGAGCTCTACGGCTCCTGGCACCTCAAGATCCATGAATCCTTCTCCAAAGTCGGCACCGCCGATGGCAGCTATCTGCCCTAGAGTCTTTGACGCTGCCAACATGATGTTGACATCGTGGTTTGGAAGGAGTTGTTTCACATAATTGTAGAACCTGTAAAGGTATCGCTTTGATCCAACGGTGTCTTCCCCATCGTTCTCCAAGAGATGATCTATGTCCAAGATTCAATACAGTCCACGACCGACGAACGGAACACAGAGGCACACCAATTGCTAACAATCCCCCTAGTCTCTCCACGTTGTTCTGACTGTGCATGAGGTCGAATATTCGTTTGTTAATGTCGTCATCCCACAACTTCACCGCGGCGTCATTGGGCATTTCAACCACTGTCGTGGCAACCTACGAGAAATTCAACACTGTAGCCAGATCGCACGACGTCAGAGACCCACGTAGCGACGCAAGTCGACTGCGGCCTGAAGCCGGGCTTCATGGCCAGGATTCCGAAGTCCTTGAAAAATCTGACCAAGGTTATCTGTATGGATGGATGTGATAGTCGACGCCATGCTTGTCGCCGACGCAGACGGGAGCTGCTGCCTAGAAGCTTACGAATACTGTTACAACCGCGTAGCATCCTGTTTGGGTTGTTTGTACCTGTTGAATTCTAAGGCTCGCTCCATTTTGGTAACACAGCCAAAAAAAAACTCCCTGCAAACAAGCTGGGAGCAAACAAGCTGCAGATCAGTGGCCCAAGCGGTAGAAACTGCACTTATAAAATATTATAAACCGCGGTGAACACGTCCAGGAAGTCTATACACGCTATAATTTAGAAGTCTCATTCGTGAGAGTACTTACTATCACTATGGCTAGATCATCTACATCCTGAGCAGGAAACTATCCAGCTCCCACCATCTTAGTTTTTTTGTTGGCCCTGATGCCCTTGAAAGGGTCATATTTGTCCTTTCCCCTTTCCCCGTAGAACACTGGCAGGGCCCTGCCCTACCCGATGATCTCACGACAGGCGCCCGAGGATGCGGATCCCGATCAGCGGACCGGTGACACCGGCTGTATTTGCCACGTCTAACACGGACAACTCGCGAATATCGGCCTGGTGGTCTAGTAGTATGATTCCTTGTTAGGGTGGCAAATATCGAGGAGGTCCCGGGTTCAATTCCCGGCCAGGCCCGCACGTTGTTTTGCTAACCAGAGGTGCTCTTTTTCCAAAATTTGTCTGCTACTATCATGACGAGTGGCATGCCCGTCTCCGGACCCTTTAGGACAAAAAGACACCGACTCATCACAGGAAATGAAGTAGCATCGCAATGCCAGCAAAGACCGCCCGAACCAAATCAGTTGCGAAGAACGATAATGAAGGTCGATTGATTTGCCCTTTGATATCGCTGGAACGCACGTATCTTTTTACACGTCACGGCGACTCATCAAACGGCCATCAGCTCCTCGGGATACTGCAGTCCTACCAAAGTCAATCTCCAGCCATCAAGGTCAGCATCGAGCTGGCCAGCGCTTCTATCCAAGTACGCGTCCCTTAGATGATGAAGTACCGCGATCCGCTGACTTTGAGGTGCCATTTTCTTTTGCTGAAACGCCTGCTGGCAACCTGCTTCAAATCAGGTGCACACTGTGTATGGCACTTATCTTTTCTCACACGAGGTAACAAAGCGGGCACGAGGCCTGATACTAAGGGAGAACCCTCCTAGTCACCCGTCGGTCGGATCGCTGCACGCCAGGTCGGGGTTTCCGGCTTGCAAAATGGAACAGAGATACGACGCTGCGATAGATACTTATATGTAAGCGTGTCTTGGCCAGGGCAAATCAATCTCGCGGCGGCAGCAACGTTGACGCGGTTGAATTTACCAATGGGGTATGCTTATGTCATCCCGATTATTGCGGAGCTCGGATCTCGTCTGTCTGCGTCCGAGAAATGGCGGGTGCGTTTATTGGCGCAGACGCCCGGAATGCTGATAAACGCCATTTTTCCATGGAACGGCCCCTGCCACCACTTCCCCCCATCACACCACTATTACCGTCATGCATGTTCCACCGCTAGATGACCACGGGCACAACTGTTGCTTTCCCTTGAAGCGTTTCCTTACCCCGAACCCTTTGTCCACGACGAACCAAATATATTCAAGCAGTGACCGACCTGATCGATCTGTCAAGCGAGCGGACACCAACGTCAAGGAAATTCAGGTCTGTTCAGTCATTTTTGCACTGCAGCGTTCGCTGACAATGCTGTTCCACGACCACAGGCAGGCTATGATGACATCCCCATATCTTTTGAATCTTGCTGCGACTTCCACTCCAGTCCAACTGGGCAGAGCCTCGATCCCCCGCCCACCTATTATGGAGTCCTGCCTCAATTCGACACAAAGTACGATTTCATGACAACCATCGTCACCACAATCGATACCATTGACTCTGCCCTGAGATCTCTAAGTCTCAGCATCCACGGTGGGTAGACATTGATATAATGGATGTGTACTTTGTCGATGTTTTGTCGCAGATCACCCTGAAGTCATGTTCGAGGAACAGTGCGTGTTTGTTACAATATTGTTGCGTTGGACTTGACCCATCTACTCAGTCACGCCCACGACATACTAACTAAATTTATGGAAAGTCATGGTTTTGTCGTGACTCGGCATTATCTAGGCCTCCAGACTGCGTGGAGGGCTGAGTTCACCCACGGTAAGGGTGGAAGGACCATTGGCATAAATGCCGAGATGGACGCATTACCCTTGATCGGGCATGCGTGTGGCCATAATCTCATCGCTGTGAGCGGTGTGGGGGTAGCCCTCGCAATAAAATCCGCATTGTTGGCTCACAACGTATCTGGGAAGGTCGTTCTACTTGGAACCCCCGGTAAGTTTGAAGTGGTGAGGGTACAGGGCATAACCTAAATGCAAAATCTGATCAGGAGAAGAAGGTGGTGGTGGGAAGGTCACACTGCTTGAACGCGGTGGTTATACTGGGATGCACGCATGCCTCATGTCTGTGACAGCTTGTGCGACGATAAAGTCACTTACTGTGTTGTGTAGGTGTCACCCCTCCGCGGGATCTCTCAATTCCATGACCACCGGATCATGTCTAGCAATGGAACCGATCGACGTCGAGTTTTTTGGTCGCTCGTAAGTCGAACGTGCAGGCCCTTGTTATCGTTTCACGGCCGAAAAATAGCGCACACGCCGGTAACGCCCCGTGGGAAGGCGCGAATGCCCTCGACGCCGCATTCCTGGCTTACTCGAACGTTTCTGTACTCCGGCAGCAAATCAAACCTGACCACCGAATTACTGGTGTCATTCAAGGTTGTAAAGCCGCTACGAACGGTGAGACGCCACAAATCCGAGTGACGGACATGCTTTAATTTCGTTAGTGATACCCGATTACGCTCAGATGCATTGGCTCCTCCGTGCTCCTGACCGCGATCAGTTGCAACATCTGAGGGAAAGGGTAGAGGCGTGTTTCAGGTGAGGCCTGTGACCTGGCGTGTGAGATACGTATTGACCGAATGCAGGGGGGCGGTTATTGCCACCGGATGCCGTCTCCAGATCACGCAAGGGCTGCCCTACCATGATCTGCGGCAAAATGCAGTCTTGGGTACGTTAGTCGAAGCCACGAGTCTGATACTGCCTCAGCGTTTCCCTCAGGCAGGTATTTCTCACAAACGATGAGTAGTTGTTTTGAAATGGATACCCGGCAAGCCACATTCGGGGCTTCCACTGATTTTGTACGTTCTCCACCGATTCCAAGGGATTACTGACCAACTACGACTTCCCCTTTAGGGTAATGTCTCTTATGGCAAGTATATCACCTGCAGGCACGCGAGAAGTATACTGATGATATTTATTAGAGGTGCCGTCGCTACATCCGTCTTTTGGTAAGAAATGGAGTCCCAAATTTATACGTGCGAGCGCGGCTGATCTCTTCCCACGTGACACAGCAATCCCTACACAACCGGGCGGAGCGAATCATACACCAGAGTTTGCAGTCTCTGCACGAAGCATCGAGGCTCACAAAGTCTGCATGATAGTCACCAAGGGCCTGGCGTGGACAGGCTTTCTTGTTCTTGCTGACGATAACTTCTACGCAGAGGTAAGTCGTTTGATGCATGCGTTGGAAGACACCAATGGTGTTTGCTGGACAGGTGAGAGACGAATATCAACGGACTGTGGGTGCGCTCAGTGCACGATGAACTTTGCATTCAGCGTTGGCGTATCTTGTGATCGTGCTGTAACACTAGCCTTCGATACCGTACAAAAAGCCAGGTCTATGTATGGTTCTACCCAAATGGCAATGATTTCAGGACACGTGGAGATTAGAATAAGAGTGTATACGCCAATGAGACCAAAATATATCCAATGTGAAATGTGAGTATCACGTCTCATGAGGGTTGAGGTGCCTCAGCCTCTTCAGTACTAGTCTTGTCCGCAGGTTCCTTGAGTGGTGTATGTTTGTGGTCTCTCCGTCCCCTTCCTTGGGTACGCAGTTGCTGGTGTTTTAACTTGCCAGCGGCGGCATCGGCGACGATACTGGGGAGGGTAAAAGTCAGGCTTATCCAGGCTGTTTTCGTCTATGCGTACCGTTCAAGTTCTCGACGATCCTCGTCAGACTCATCCGGCGCAGTAGTCTTGAAGATGTGGCCGATAATCAACAGACCCTTCGGTAGCATTGTAAGAAGCCACGCCAACGTTGTTTCCTTGTAACCATACCTTGGCCCGGTTAACGAGCACTTGGTCCGAGACTTCGCGGTCTTTGAGGACTTCATCCACAACCTAATGAAGGTTAATCAAGCTACACAACGATTCTTCAAGTGGAGAAATGATTTACCTCTCGTAGCACTTGCACGACTTCGAAACGGGTTCCTCGCCAAGAAGCGAGTAAGATCTGTAAATGCAATACAAGGTGATTATAACTGTACATAAAGTAGCACTTGGCCGTACCTTCCCGGTCATGTCTTCTTCCATTGCATGTAAGATTTCTTCAGTCACCTCACCTTTGGCTTGCAACTTTTCCATTTCCTGCATTAGTGATTGGACGCTAAGTCTGATTTTCGAGCAACATCGGGTCTTGTGAGCATCATTTTCTTTGCGAGGTTGCTCAAGCTTACGCGCTGCCAATCACACCCCATGCATCCTTTGCCACAGATCCTTTTTCCTTTATCCGAGACCAGAAGCCCGCACTAGAACGCTGTGAGCTTTGAGGGAGTACAACATCACGGCGACTCACAGCCCAAGGAATTTCTTTGACTTCAAGAACGAAGAGGCCTTCATGCTATAGACGGTGCCAATGGCTTGTAGCAACTAAACGCCGGCGCTCGTGAACTGAATACATGTAACCGCTGGCAAAGAAGCAATGACCCACCTCAACACCAAAGCTTTCCAGTTTCAAATCCTCGGCCTCCAGCCTGATTTTCTCCTGAAATGTCACGGTTTCTGGATCATCTTTCTCTCCGGGATGTTTAGCTTCGACGAATGGCCTGAGCCGTTCGACCAACTTCGTCGTCAGTATTTTCACACGTTCCTCTAACGCCTTCTTTCGCTCTTCTTCGAGTTCTTGAAGTTTCTTTCTCTGCTCTGGAGTCAATTTGCTACGTTTCTTGGACGCGTGTAAATCCTTGTCTTTCTCCAGCGAAGGTGATGCAGGAGCGCTCTTTGATTCATTCTTAGCCGGAGACGAGTCGGGTGACAATGTCCGTTTGGATGTGGATGTGTCTTCACAGCTAACCGAGGCTTTGAGCGCGACTGCGGATGTATCGAGATGCCTGGCTGCCTGGCCTGTGGCACGGGATCCTGCTGCAGGAGTCGTGGGCCGCGTTGGACCTTTTTCCTGAGCCGGTGTAGAAGGTGGAATAATGCCTTCTTTCTCAAGTTCTTCGCGCTCTTCGTCGGTTGCCACCGTTTGTGCCACGGAGGTCATTTCTTTCATCAGGGAGATTTCTCCGATCTAACATTTATTGAGAACGATCGGCAAACAAAACCTGAAAGAATGGAAGAACGCACGTAGTCTTTGAATCGTTCTCCCCCAAAGACATTGGCGAAAAACATGGCGGCGTCTTCCATCTCGCTGGTTTCATGGTCGGCCTGTCCCGCACCGCAGCGTATTCTTCAGGACTCCATCGCGAATCTCTTTGCAAGACAAGACTTACCATCGACTTGCCATTCTTATCAT